TAATGTTAACTGTGTCACTTATAGGTTGGTAAATAATGACGTTAATCTGTCAAACACCGAGCGGTCACTGGTGACCGCGACCTATTGTTCTTTAATTGTGTCTATAAAACCGGTACTTGACGAGTTAAGTATCACATATCTTAGCTTTTTTTAAGGGGGGAAAATCATCGAATGACTGCTTCCGCCTGGATGAGGCGGTAGGGAGTGTCAGACTCTTATGGACTAAAAACCATCCTGTTCCTTCTCCTGCGCTTCGAACTGTAGCCCCAGTAACCCGTTAGGTTCTCCGCGACACATATCTTAGCTCAGGAGTTCCTTTAAATTTAAGAAAGGCTGTTAAAATAAAATATCTTTAACTGGTGGTTCCAATCAAATTATTCTGTCTTTTAAAACAATTTATTAATGAAATAGAATCACTTCTTAGAAAACTCCAGAATTGGATTAATTAGGAAAACTTTATCCCTTTGAAAAAATAAATTATTCAAGTAAATTGAAAACCAACTGGTTCTTCAAAAAGTTTCGTTAATTTGAGTAACCGTAATGTCAAGAAACAAGATGGTTTAAAAAATTCCGAATTTTAAAAGTGATTTAAGTGTGGGAGGGCCATGCTTCGGCACGGATGGGCCGGCTCGATCGGAGTATTACCACGGCCTCACAGAAAACTGATGTGAAGCAACGCTTGCGTTGTGTTTCGTTATGTGAGTGATGTTACCGGAGGCTTAATTATTCATACCAAACACAAATTAAAATTTCACATTCATTTTTAATTATATAATTTTGTGAATTATTGAAAAACATAGTAACGAGGTCCAACTTTAATGTCGCGGGTGTCCATGGGCGGCGCTGACAACTTACCAACTCTATGATGATCCGTCCGTTGTTGTTCATAACGTTTATCATGAATTTTTAACACGTTGAACGCCATGGGGGTGACCGGCGTTAGCGGAGGATTTACCTTCAACAGTTTTTTATTTGCAGTCAGTCTTAATGATATAATTCACTTTTATCCCCAAAGGGGTAGGCAGAGGTGCACATTATGCCACTGTACAATGTAACACCCACTTTTCACTATTTATGTTATGAGTCCCATGTAATAGTGGGTGAGCCTATTGCCATATACCGGACACTATTCCAGACTCCGTGCTACTACTGAGATTTTTTTTAAAAACCCAGTAATTCTGTGCCCGGCCCGGGAATCGAACCCGAGACCCCTTGCCCGGCAGTCGCACTTGCGACCACTCGGCCAACGAGGCAATCAACGAGGCATTTTTCTTTCATATAATCTATTATTTCGTTTATTCATTCGACAGTTCAATAATCTCAAAATATTAAGAAGAATCATCCCTTTAGAAGATGCATTAGAGTTAAAACAAAATAATAGTCTCAAATAACCAAATGTAGTAGATACTTTGTTTCACAGTACTGCTATTACATTGGAGGTCATCTAATCTGGACAATCATTAAAGTATTAAGTGCCTGTACGATGGTCGGAAAAGGTGAGTACTGTGTTTAAACAAGAGTGGTTTAGCTCGTTATCTAAATACTAAACGTGTGCATTGAAAGGTCTTGCTGGTATTTTATTTGTTATTTAATCAACATTAACAACTACAACATCAACAAACTATAAATGAGCAATGCTGATCAAAAGTCTCTTCCCACGCGGAGAAGTTTTGAGCAAGCAAGTTTAATCACCACGTTTGCTCAATGCGGGTTGGCGATTTCAAACTTATAATAATTAGAAAATTATAAGCCCAGGTTTCCTCACGATGTTTTCTTTCACCGTTCGTCAGTGGTGACAAGATTATCTATCTTAGGAAGTACATATAACTTGGAAAAAGTCACATTGTTATTAGCCGTTGGTAGGTTTCGAACTCGTACTCCCTTGCATGAGGCTTAACCCTCCGGGCCATCACGACTGGATGCTATTTAATAAAATTAATAAATTACAATGATTTTATCTATGTCTTCTGCAAGTGAGCAAATGTTTATTATGAATATGAAAAATTTTCTTAATGTTTGTCAATAATTCACTATAAAATAAGTCACCTTCTATGTATAGTTAAGAGGCTAAAATTAAATAACATGCATTTATATAACCATTCTAATATTATGACTTATGAGAGATCACTGAACCTTAAAGTCGCTAAAATTAATCTTTACTACCCAGGTTATTCACCCCTTGAATAATTTGTTTGCAAAATAGTCAACAGGAATATTTTTGTCAGTCATAACATATTTTCAGAGGTAATATTCAAGTAATGTAGCTTTAATCTGTAGACTGTCGACAAAAGCGGGGTCATTAACCTATAAAATGGGCTCAGAAAAAAATAAAAAATAGACTATTAATTACTGTTTTTTACGAACGTAATAAAGTCCTCTAATTTACTAAATAGGTCGTTGGCATTAAGGTATAAAGTTGACTGACAAAAAAACTCGACTGATAATTAAAACATTGATAATTGTAACACACTATGTGTCTCAGTGTTGTTATTTCTTTTCCTGCCACAGGCCCACAGGAAGAAATTCCAGTTGGAATATGTGGGGCCTATGTACTCTGTTTTATATATGTATTATCCTCTGTGTTGAATGTGTGTACATAAATAAATAAAACTAGGATAATATTTTTATGATTAAGTTGGATTTGTTTCAAATATACCTCAACAACCAGATTTACGTGTGAAATCTGATTAAAAAGATATGTAGCTACGTGAGTACCTACTTGACAATTTGTTTGGATTTAAAAAGATAATTAAAAGTTGAGATAATATTGTGATACGCAATGTTTTTCCATGATTATCGTGGTTTATCTATTATTTATTACTTCTACACGTATTCTAACAAAAATACTACAATTTTATTAGTAACTTTGTGTATGTCATTTTTTGTGTTACTGAAACACCTCATATTGGTTGAAGGGGTCGGGATGAAATTTGGAACCAAGGTAGATTATGACTGCCTCTTTGGTCTCGGGTTTGATTCCCGGGTCGGACAAAGTATTACTGGGTTTAAAAAAAAAATCTCAATGGTAGCACGTAGTCTGGAATTGTGCCCGGTATATGGCAATAGGCTCACCTCCTATTACATGGGACCCATGACATAACTTGTAAAAAGTGGGTGTTACATTGTACAGTGGTATAATGTGCACCTCTGTCTACCCCTTCGGGGATAAAAGGCGTGATGTTATGTTATGTTATGTTTGTTAAAGATTATGATGTGGACTAACACACAGGCTACTTTTTATCTCACGGGAGCGGGTGAAACCGCTGGTACAAGCTAGTATTTTCAATATATCCTTGTCAATACAGTCAGTAAAGTAAACAAACAGGCTGGAGCAGATCTATAATGTTTGAAACTACATTAAATAGTAGTAGAATGAAACGCATTGTAAAGGGAAGGCAATGTCTCCAAAACTGAACTGAGGTCAGGAAAAAGATAGGTGGGGCGGTAGAAAAAAAAACAGTTTATCGGTATTAGTGTATTATTTCCATATTTTTGAGCACATTTTCTCATTGTACTACTGTTTGACAACGCTTCCGACTGATAATGACGTCATCTACCCCAGTCTAAAACGCTTTGTAGCATAATAAAGATGCAAAAGTACTTACTCTTCAATATAACTAAACTCATTCAAATAAAATCACTGAAACCATTCCTAAAATACGCAAATAAAGGAATATAAACCTAAAAAGAAAGCATTAAATACTAAAATTTTATTAGCGTGCATTTAGGCAATTACGAACGAAGAATACTAATCTCCTTCATGTCAGCAGAAGATAGTAAGTGGCAATAAATCGTGCAACATGTTGGCACTTGGGTAACTAATGTTCCTACGGTATTTGCGCTAGATTACAGAATTGTCGACTGGCGGTTAACGTGAAAAATCCCTTATTTGCAGCGGAGATGTAAGAGATTTCTACGTGAAGGAATTAGCGGGAGAATGGTTTTGTATCGTTGTTGTTTGTGGATTGGTTGCTTTTGTTTATGTCTGTATCAGTATTTTAGTTAGGTTTAAATAAGAATGGTATATCATCAGGTATACTAGAACAAATTACTTCTTCTTTAAATATAGTATTGTATTTGTAACTATTTAAGACGCCCGCTTCTCATGCATGAGGGTGCGGGTTCGAAACCTACCAACGGCAAGTACCAATGTGACTTTTTCCGAGTTATATGTACTTTCTAAGATTATTCAGACACCACTGACAAACGGTGAAGGAAAACATCGTGAGGAAACCTCGACTTATAATTTCTAATTATAAGTTTGTAATCGCCAACCCGCATTGAGCAAGCGTGGTGATTAATGCTCAAACCTTCTCCGTGTGAGAAGAGGCTTTGCTCAGCAGTGGGCATTTATAGGCTGTTGATGATGATTTGTAACTTTTTGAATTTTGTATGCATCACGGCATCGATTATTAAAAGTTCGATTTTTGACAACCTTTGGTATAGGTCTGTTGAGTGTTAGCCGACGAAAAACCTGCTTAGTATAAAGTAGATGTGGATAGATTGATTTATCTGTGACTCAAAACAAATTTGTCCATTCTATACATCCCTCACATTCACACACTTCTCTCCAATTTGTAGATGCTATTTGTTCCGCGCTAAAAACCTGACAAATAAAGCAGACACACAGATTACAAAAATTCCTCAGCAACTTACGCCATAACAATAATAGCTACAAATATAACAATAACAGTTACAAAAATAACAATACAAGCTACAAATATAATAATAACAGCTACAATTAACCAAAACATACTAAACAGACCACCAATCAATGCAGTAACATCAATCATACCCACATCACAACGCTCCAATTTGTAATACAAACTACAAGATTGTATAATAAAGTTACCTAACCCGTCGGATGCAATTAGAGAGGCAAGTAATTACTTTATTGGTGACCGGGGCACGCCGGTCACGTGTGCCGGCGTGCACAGGTTAACGAAGACAGGGAGATGTGCTAAATACGTGTGGCGATGTTGCATGATCATTTTGGTCAGGTTTTGTGTTTATTTTTAATGTTTGTAATAATATGTGCTGTTGTCGGTTGATTTACAGTTTCATTAGAGATTTTTTTCTTAAAGGGGGAAAATCATCGAATGACTTATCCCGCTTGGGTGGGGCGGGAGAGAGTGCCAGACTCTTACTGACTAAAAACCACCCCGTTCCCACTCCTGCACATCCAGCCGGAGCCCCGGCAACCTTTTACGTTCTCCGCGGCTCCGTATCGGCATCAGTCCTATTGGACCCCATCCATGGAAATGTGTTGGCTCTTTGAGACGCGCGCGGAACGCGAATTTCGTTAGGGATATACGTATGTATGACATTTCCCATGATTTAAAAAACCGACTAAAATCCCCGTTTTTTGTAATCGGTTAAAAACCTTCTCCTAAGAGTAAGAAACATTTCTGAAAACCAAAAAAAATCGGATCAGGCAATCGCGAGATAATCGTGCTCAAAGATATAATACATACAGGTTAAATAGAGAACATTTTTTTATTAAGTCGGTTATTAAAAAATAGCTCTTGTCACGTTACCAAAAAGATAGCTATCCCCTTGTCTGCTAACCTCATGAAGACAAAATTGCTAGCATACCTTCGTGTTCCGACACTTAATAAAGGCCTTTGTCTGGTCTATAGATATCCAATATTGTTTCTATTATGATGTGTCATTCCGGGAACAATTTTGCGGTCATTTTCGGGTTGTCAGGGAAAGGGTTGGTATTAGTTCTAATTATAAACGTAGATGTTATGCTGGAATTCTTCGAAATGTGTTACGTCATCTTGTTATTGGTGTTATTATATACAATGGATTTTACTATTTTGTTTAAAACCTAGACCAGACCTAGCTGTAGCTAAGCTGTTTTATAATATTATAGCCATCGGGAGGAAATAGGGTAGATGACTAATTTTTATTTTAATGCCCGTCTGGTAGATTATTTGAAAACATTAGACACTTTTATTTTTTATTTTCTTATCGGAAACGAATATTTTCGAAGATATATTGATTTGAAATATCGCATGACGTCACTTTTGAGTACGATTTATACTCTAAAATGATGTAGCTACCTCCCACTCCTATCCTATGATCCGTTTTATCTAAGAATTGTTTTCTTATACCTACGACAAAATTAAAATTTACGTGTCTAATATTTTTTCATTACCTAACTGATGGACTAATTAGATTTTTAATTTTCATACCCTGCCATCACCCCTACAGAAAATGAAATGTGAATATTTTGGAATGTAGGTATTTGAAACAATGTATACTATTTGTTACCTACATAATTTACGGTTATCATGATATGGTTATTAGTAGGTCCTTAAACGTTAAAATATAAAATCATGCCTGCTTCGTTGGCCGAGTGGTCGCAAGTGCGACTGCCGAGCAAGGGGTCTCGGGTTCGATTTCCGGGTCGGGCAAAGTATTACTGGGTTTTTAAACAAAATTTAAGTAGTAGCACGGAGTCTGGAACTGTGCCCGGTATATGGCAATAGGCTCACCCCCTATTACATGGGACTCATTACATAAATAGTGAAAAGTTGGTGTTACATTATACAGTGGCATAATGCGCACCTCTCCCTACCCCTTCGGGGATAAAAGGCGTGATGTTATGTTAATGTATAAAATCATGCTCAAATTGTTCAATAGTGAAATAGCGGCATGGTGAATTTTATTAATAATACAACGTTTACGCGAAACGCTAAATTCCAGACTCCATGGTATTCTTGAGAAATTTCGCTTTTTGTAGTTCTCCAAGAAAAAACTGAGACGCTAAACAATATTCAGATTACATTTTCTGTTACTTAATTGTTAACTTTTATAAAAAAAAATTAAATCGTTGCTCCACACAAGATTCTTATCGTGTGTCGTGGGACGTTTACATACATAAAAATTCACATACACATCACACCTAGACCCGAAACAATAATCTGTGGATCACACAAACGAGTTATTCCGTGCCGAAATCGAACACGCGACACGTTGCGCGCCAGCCAGTTCCCCAGCCACCGCACCAGCCGTGCAAACAATTTCATTAAAACCTTTAATCTCAACGAATATAAAATCAGTGAAAAAAACAAAACAAATCTACTAGAAGAATAAAATCACACAAAAGCCATAGTTATGAACTTAGTAGAAGCATAGGCAAACTGTGGGTATTGCAATTACGTAACGTAATTGTTCTGCCTACCCGAGCCGTAGGACAATTGTAATCGGTGTCAGTTCTAACCGCTAGCGAGATTTACACCTCTACATAAAGGGGTGAATAGGTTTACATTCATAGAATCGTTTAATAACAGGATAGGCTGGTATAGATTATGAATTTAATATGCTAGTTCATATTTGGGGCAAACAGATTCATCGTTTTCTGTTTGTTTTAGTTTAACATCACGCTTACGGACCTTAATGTCACTGTACAATGCAACACCCACTTTTCACTATTTATGTTATGAGGCCCATGTAATAGGGGGTGGGTCTCTTATCATGTATTATTTTAATCTAATGTTATGTGAAGTGCCCCCATTCAGTGTCAGCAGAGTAGAACGTATTTTTAATCACACCTACTCAACGCGGTTCTATATATACCTATGTTCTTGAATTTAAAGATCAAAATGGACAACAATATATCACCTGACCTCAATTACTTAGTTATTTACACAAGGCCTTATTTAATTGCTGAAGATATTTATACCGTTTTCTCTTAAAATGTCAATTACCTCTTATTTTAAGATATTTATGCAAGATTTATGCAAAAGGTACGGTTCACCGTTTAATCGTAAATAACATACGTACTTAGTTTCCTTAACGAAGAATCAGTAATAATAAAATTCACCCTAGAAATACCAAAACTTTACAGACAAATTCCGTGATAGCGCGGATATTTCCAATATTATGTATCACATAACATTTACCCGCAGCTTTGCTTAAAACTATATCGATTTCCAGATAATTTACCCTTTATTTCTTTCGCCTTGTATTTAGTCAAGATTTTTCAAGTCCTTTTTTCTACGGGATAAGCCGGTATACCAGCAGACGGATCACCTGATGGTAAGCAACCGGCGTTGCCCATGGACACCTGGAACACCAGAGACGTTACAATTGCGATACCGGCCTTTTGAGTATTAGGAATTAGAATTGTTGGGGACTCTGGGATTGGGGAGATAGGAGGGGGGGGGGGGCGTAATTGGGCCTACGTAAACCTCACTCACACGATGAAACATAACGCAAGCGTTATTTCACGTTGGTTTTCTGCTCGGCCGTGGTATCACTCCGGTCGAGCCGGCCCTTTTGTGCCGAAGCATGGCTCTCCCACACTTAATGGTCATGTTGAAATTCATTATAGACTGATTACAATGTGGTAACGGTAGAATAGAATGAATTTTCACCATTTCATTTGATGGATTTACTCTACATAACATAAAATAACATACCCGAAGGGGTAGGCAAAGTTGCACATTACGGCACTCAATGCCACTGTACAATGTAACACCCACTTTTCACTATTTCTGTAATAGGGGCACCCCCTATTACATACCTACCTATTGCCATATACCAGGCACAATTCCAGACTCCGTACTACTAGGTACTGAGATTTTTTTAAATAAACCTAGTGATACTTTGCCCGACCCGAGACTTGAACCCGAGACCCCTTGTTCGGCAGTCGCACCGATGACTACTCGGCTAACGAGGCAGTCTGTTAACTCGTGAAAGCATGAAAGAACAAACACACTTCCGAATTTACGACATTAGTAGTGATAGCTACGAGTAGCGAAGTTTCCGCCCCGTCAAGTCAATGTATGCGAAGCACGGCGTGAAACCAAAAACTTCGCATGAAGGATGAATATCGATGAACGCAAGTAAGTGAAGAGTGTTCACGAATACGCCAACAACTTGCTTCGCGATGTTGAACCTTATCAACCTACCTAAGGCTGTTTGTATTACATTACTACTTGATATGGATCATAAGGCACATTTTTATTCGAAAGATACAAGATATCCTACACAAAACATCTTATGTAAGATATTTTTTTATTTCTGAACTATTTTTTTCTTTGTTTCTTTGATAGGTCGTGTGGTTGCTGAAACACCTATTTAAAATTCTCAATAACAGTTTGGAGTCTAGAATTGCTGCTAGTATGCTCCTTTATATTGCATAAATCTCAAGGAAACAATACAAAGTCTTTAAATATAGATATCTATTCAGAAAACAATAAAGGATACAATGTTATGAATACCTGAATTGTTAAACAAATAACCAACTTATTTATACTAACAATGTCCATAAAGGAAAACCATTGTAATTACCGAAACTGTCAAATACAATTAAAGACTTTACTGGAGAAGCAATTAATGTCACTTTATAATAACATAACGTCACGCCTTTTATCCCCGAAGGGGTAGGTAGAGGTGCACATTATACCACTGTACAATGTAACACCCACTTTTCACTACTTATGTTATGAGACCCATGTAATAGGGGGCGAGCCTATTGCCATATACCGGGCACAATTCCAGACTCCGTGCTACCACTGAGATTTTTTTTTAAACCCCAGTAATACTTTGCCCGACCCGGGAATCGAACTCGAGACCCTTTGCCCGGCAATCGAACTTGCGACCACTCGGCCAACGAGGCAGTCACTTTAGAGCTATAATAAAAGATTAATTTTATACAATTCAGAGTTAATATGCTTAGCAGTTGGATCCTGAGCTACTTGACCTGCAAATGCAAGGTAGTAATACTAAAAATTGTTCATATACATAACCCCAAATACTCCATGAACCAATATCAATTAATAATGTATGTATGTAAACGACAGTTGGCTGAGACAAGGCTTGCCGGAATATTGGCAATTATGCCACAATTGAGCGCTAGTGCGGCCCTAATGCGCCCATATTAACCTATGTTGCGATCTGCAATAGACGTTAGCTGCATAGGTGTTGTATGACATGGCTTTATTACGCCTGACCTGTCTTCGTAACATCAGAGGCTTGAGATCAGTGGGTTGTGATCATGTGAGAACTTGTTCTATTGTACTATTATATTCAGGGAACAAAAAAGGGATCCCACCTTAAAGACGATTCATTGACCAAACACCAATGACTTTCCTAACTCAAGCCTTGAGTTCAGTTCCTAGATCAAGCGGTGTTAAGACAGTTTAAACTGAAGATGGTCTACATTCCATTTACACGTCTGTGTATCCATTAGAGGTTCATGCAATAACGTACGTATTTGATGTAAACTATCTAAAACAAAAACCTTACTGTTTATGATAGTTATTTCTAATTGATATAATTAGAAATAACCTCTGCCTAGATCTTTTTTTGAGGGTGGAAAATCATCCAATAACATCTACCGCCTTGGATTAGACGAGAGGGAATGTCAGACTCTTACTGACTAAAAACTACCCCGTTCCTACTCTTGCACTTCGAGCCAGAGCCTCGGTAACCCGTTAAGTCTTCCGCGGCTCCGTATCGGCATCAGCCCTATTAGGGCCCATCTGTAGTGGTCTGATGGCACCTTGACGTGCGCGCGGAACGCGACGCGCCGTACGCTTGGGTTTGGTTCTGGTTAGCGGCGAGTCACCCGTGCTCACCGTCCTCAGGCCCGTGTCTGCCTACCACTACGGGGATAAAAGGAGTGTATGTTATGTGTAGAAATAACTGTCATATATGCATGACTAGTTATCAATATCACTAATAATCTAGTGACTGTATGAAACTGTTTTAATATACCTAATCACCACCAACCAAAGAGGCCGCTTCCTAAAAATTATGGTAGAAAGGGACCCTATTTCAAGGCAACCTGTAATGTTACCAAACCACTTTTCTGTAACATTACCTTACTTAAGTTATTCGCAAGAGATAATACATTTTAAGTCAAAGATAAGAATTTTATTAAATCTCATTTTTACCGTCGCATCACCCTAGCGTTTTCTCCTGTAAAGAATTGCTCTGTGCGAGAATCGAACCCGAAACACGTTGCCCAGTCACCACACCAACCGTGCGTTTATACGAGTTCACTTATCACTTTCGGAAAAAATATCCGGATTTTTTATACAAAAGTCGACATAATTTAGACTGCACTTAAATTATTAATTAGAAATAACTATCACTACTTAACGCATTTGCTTTTAAAAACACGATTCAGTTAAGAAGCTCCCTCTGCGCTCGGGATAATTTTTCTTCGCAAAGACGAACAAATTATGAACGACATAAATGAAATAAGAAACTTTGAATTGTACCTACATACTAACTGGTTTATTTACTTCGGAGCCAAGTTGCAAAGTTATTTCTATAAAGAAAATTGTAATGTTCAAGAAATATGAGAACTTTATTGCTTTAACTTACATTCCCTGAAGGGGTAAGCTTAGGACTTATTGTAAGTACAAAAACTTTGAACAGGGGTATTATTTATGCCATTGTTATAGGAGCCGAGATTATGGTGAATTATAATTACCAAATAATCGGAATATCAAATTTTCACTAGCCTTTGACAGTACACTGCTGAAGTAACCCCAGCCTTGGCCGGTGTTCAGGTTTACCAGATAGCACTGCTCTTTGGTATCTGTCAAATGTCACTTATTTAGATCTGAGTCTAACCATACCAGTTAAAGGAGTAAAGGTTACAAATTCCACTTACTTATACACTTGTATTTGTGTGACTTGTATTTATCGAATATTTATTATCTCGTTGGCACACTAGGATTTTTTCCTGTGTCGTGGGTGCGTTTACAAACATACAAGTTCACATACATATCACACCCAGACCCGGAACAACAATCTGCGGATCACACAAAGAGTTGTTCTGTGCGGGAACCCGCGACATGTTGCGCGGCAGCCACTTGTCCAGGCACCGTACCCACCGTACACTAATTTCAATACAAGATTAAACTAGTCCTATTCATTCACAAATATTTCGTTTAGCCCATGTATGTTCCTAAGAAGGTTATCATCATCAACAGCCAATAAATGCCCACTGCTAAACAAAGCCTCTTCTCATACGAGAAGGTTTTGAGCATTAATCATCACGCTTGCTCAATTAAGGTTGGCGATTACAAACTTATAATACAAATTATTAACCCAGGTTCCTTCACAATGTTTTCCTTCACCGTTTGTAAGTGGTGTCTAGATAATCTTAGAAAGTACATATAGCTCGGAAAAAGTCATATTGGTACTTGCCGTAGGTAGGAACTCGCACCCTCATGCAATAGAAGCGGGCGTCGTAAACCTTCGGGTCAGCACGACATACCCTTACACAAGAAGGTAATATATTTGGTTATTTTATTTTCTTTGACTTGACCTATAAGACATTGACCATTAAAACAACCAAATTCGTTTTCATTTCAAAGAACATCACCCCGAAAATAACATCAGTTATAAATGTGAACCAGTTATTTTGATTAAAACTGAACTTTTATTTATACTCTAACAGTATAGTCGGCAATATAAAAAGCCATTCATTTTCATCGCGGACCCACCCTTTAGGCTGAAAAGACGAAGTTAAGCAAAGCGATTTTTTGATGCTTCACTTATAAATTTTTTGTTGACGTTCAAAAGTGCCTTTCTGGTGTAATAGAAATAAATGATTTTGACGTTGACTTTGATTTTAATTTTGATGATAAGCGATTGCCGAAGCTTAATTTCACCTTGAACACCAAATACATCACAAATGTACTGTGGGTCACGTAAGTGCAACAGTTTATTCATGCCACCATTTCTAGAGAGAAATGGTCCTCTCATAATTAATAAAACAAGGCGCAATTAAATCAAACAGTAGTTTGGGCTCGTTGGCCGGGTGGTCGCAAGTTCCACTGCCGCGCACAAGGGGTCGCGGGTTCGATTCCCAGGTCGGGCGTCAGATCGGTCGTAGTAGTAGAACGGAGTCTAGAATTGTGCCCGGTATATAGCAATAGGCTCACCCCTATTACATGAGACTGATAACATAAATAGTGACAAGTGGGTGTAAAATTGTACAGTAGCATTAAGTGCCGTAATATTAACCTCTGCCTACCCTTTGGGGATAAAAGGCGTCATGTTATGGGCAGTTAAATCAAACAGTAGTTTGGGCTCCCAAAATAAGAACGAAAGTGGTTAAACTTTTAATTATTCACGAGAAAAATACAGTCAGCCAATTAGGAAAAACTAGAAGAAAAAAACAGGGACGCCACGAGAAGCACTTTGCAACTACTGGCTCATACAGCTACATCTAAAGGTGCCCTTTAGGTTTTCTTGCTCTCCGCTCCTCTTATACCAAAGTAACAGCCTTAAACGGGAATCGTAAAAGTAAACTGAGCGTTTTATTACAGGTTGTGGCCCTACTGACATCAATGGTTGTATGCTTATACTAAATGGCCGATATCGCTAATCGTTTTCTGAGATCATGTTTGGGTATGGGCTGGTGAGGTACTGATGTCATATAAAATTCAGATGTATAGACAGGTCTGTTTGAATATTAGCTAAAACTAAGATACTGCTATCTGTTACCCTTGTACTCTCTGCTTTATCTTGATTCGCAAGAAGTTTATTTTTTTATTCACTACAAATACACTAGACTACACTAGTATAAAACAAGTTTTTCAAGTGCGGGAGAGCCATGCTTTCGGCATGAATGGGCCGGCTCGACCGGAGTGATACCACGGATATCTTTAAATTCCAAATCTCAAACAAAAGGCCGGTAACGCACTTGTAACGCCTCTGGTGTTCCAGGTGTCCATACTTACCATCAGGTGATCCGTCTGCTCGTTTACCGGCTTATCACATAAAAAAAACAAAATCGCTATCCGACGTCTATCTGTCCCTATGTATGCTTAGATCTCTAAAACTAAGCAACAAATTTTGATGCGTTTTTTTATAGATAGAGTGATTCTTAAGGAAGGTTTATATGTATAATATATGCATATTGCACCCGTGCGAAGCCGGGACGGGTCGCCAGTTTATCAATAAATTGTATCGAAGTTCAGAGTTTTTTAACCACAAGAGTGGATTATGACTACCTCGTGGTCAATACTATGACTATCAAATAGTATGCCTTCGATATTACGTAGGTATAGTTTGAACACAGTAGCTGTCATCGCATAAACTTATACATAGACTACCGAAATAGTTCATAAGATAATACAATGTTTTAACTACATTATGATGAAGATTAATGGCCCCTTATTATGAGTATAAGGGAATTGAAAGCTAATGTCTATGTATTTAGAATACCATTTACAGTTTATTTATTTACACAATATTCTGCTATAATAACAGTTCAATCAAAAGTGGATCAAAACGAAGTCAAACTGGTGTTGTAAGTCAAGCAACTGTCAGCAAAACTGATGGTCAATAAACGTTAGCTAACACAACTAAACAGATTAATCAAGATTAATTAATTTATGAAGTTTAGTACCTCGGCTCACTTTGTATCGAAACGTTGGAGTATGAATGTGATAGACATACGAGGTAAACTGCTTTTTGGTCGACATTCCTTTAAAATTGACTGCCTCATTGGCCGAGTGGTCGCAAGTGCGACTGCCGGGCAAGGGGTCTCGGGTTCGATTCCCGGGTCGGGCAAAGTATTACTGGGCTTTTAAAAATTCTCAGTACTAGCACGGAGTCTGGAATTGTGCCCGGTACATGGCAATAGGCTCACCCCCTATTACATGGGACTCATAACAAATAGTGAAAAGTGGGTGTTACATTGTACAGTGGCATAATGTGCACCTCTGCCTACCCCTTCGAGGATAAAAGGCGTGATGTTATGTTATGTTATGTCCTTTAAAACACGAAGCGTCTCGCTTTAAGTGTTTTAATAACAACCGCTAAGGAGTAGGATACTTTACTGGAGATTGTGTTTTTGAGTACATATGCTGCTTGTGCAGTTAGTGTGCTCCATCATTAGCCACATCATTTCTTACCACCAAGTGAGATGGTGACAAAATACTTAGAATCTTCCCACCATCGCGCCCACTAACAATTTTAAAGCCACTGCTACAAGCGAAGCTGATAACATTAATACTCCAACCGAACTATACTTCGTTAGACAACCTTATCGGTTTATTGACTAGTTGTCGAAAACGGTTGTTTTAGCTTTCTCAATGCTCATTCTTATTACTTTTTATTTTATGAAATTTAAGTGTACTTCTTGCACAATGGGTACCTATACAATGGCGGACTTAATGCCTAGTGTCATTCTCTAACAGTCAACCTTTTTTTTTTTTTTTTTAAGGGGGGAAAATCATCGAATGACTGCTCCCGCCTGGGTGAGGCGGAAGGGAGTGTCAGACTCTACTGACTAAAAACCACCCCCGTTCCTTCTCCTGCACGTCGAGCCGGAGCCCCGGTTACCCGTTAGGTTCTCCGCGACTCCGAATCGGCATCGGCCCTATTGGGCCCCATCTGTGGTGGTCTGATGGCTCTTTGAGGCGCGCGCGGAACGCGACGCGCCGTACGCTCGGGTCTGTTTCTGGTCGGACGAGAAGCCACCCATGCTCGCCGTCCGCAGGCCCGCGCTTACGGTGGCCGGAGATCGTCCCGCGATCCCCGACGCCCGGTGTGTCCTTCGCGATGGCTGGGTTGCGAGGAGGCAGCGCTTCGCTGCCTCACGCGTCCCGCCTCCTCCTTAGCTAGCATGACTGCTTCGCAAAAGGAGGAGACGGCATCCCAGTCCCCCTCACTCCGCATCATGGCCTGCACTAGGCCCGGACGCGAGAGGTCGCCATCGCCGATCACTTCCCTGAGGGCACAGCGGTGCTCAGCCCACGCAGGGCATTCTCCCACTGTGTGTTCCACCGTGTCCTCAGGGCGGTCCTCGCAGTGATGACACCCGGGCGTTTCCTCCCGCCTCATCAGACACAGGTACCTCCCGAAACTTCCATGTCCGGTGAGGACCTGCGTCAGGCGGTAGGTGAGGACGCCGTAGCGTCTCTCAAGCCACTCCTCAAAGAGGGGTCTTACCGCTGCAATGGCAGCGAGCCCAAACAGTCAACCTTAGGGTGATGCAGAGAGACACATTAGTAGGTGTAAAAGTTTAACTTTTAGACTGCCGTCAAGATTCAATTCTTAGTCCTTGTAAATATCAAATGCATACCTGTCTGAAGTCGCTTTCTTTTACATTATAGTCCATAATATCAATGACGAAAACTACCTTATATCCTACCTCTTTTTTCAGAGTCCTTTAAACTAGAATACAAACAAATCTCAAGCAAAAAGAACTATTTCCTCAAAAAATAAGATTGCTTGCATAATTCGACGGTGCGTACACCTCAATGTTCGTGCATATATCCTTATTATGCAACCAAGTAGGAAATTCTTCTAAGATTCAAGCGGAAAATTGTTCCTTCCCCCACGGGCATAAAATATCGACTTCATACGAAGAACTTACGCAAATATTATGGCAAACTCTACGGGGAAATACAAAGCGTCGTCGCTTCTTATTTGCGGTGAAAAACTGATGTATTCACCTATAAGGAGTTTTCTTTGAAACTATAAACTTTTGTTATAGTGAGAGGTTAGTGTTATAATATTATCATGAGGTTAAAAGTATATTATAATATTTACGAAATGGTTTGATAGGAAAACACTTAAGGGTCTGACTGCAAACATAAAACTGTTGAAGGAAAATCCTTCGATAACGTCCGTCACCAATGACTCTCATGGCGTTTAATGGGTACAGCGATTCAATTTTAACAAAGATTGTTACTACTGCGATTAGAAGACAAAATGGTTGAGTTTGGCGGTCCTGGGGTACGTGTCATGTCAATCTCTTTGACTGGATTCAGGTGTTGTATTGTTCTCACACAATCGAACCAACACAACTATGTAACTAGAGAATTGTATTATAAACCCGATTGAAAAACCTATGGAGTTTCTTGCTCGTTCTTCTCCATAGGAATCTACACCTTGGAATGAGCATCACTTCTAAATTTTTGTTATTGACGTTCAGAAGTACCTTCCTGGTCTAATGAAATAAACATTTTTTAGACTTGACTTGAAATATTTCATATACATATCCCGTATCAAATCTTACATAGGAATCTTTATTCAACTACGACAAATGTCTATGCTAAGGAACCCAACTCTTGAATAACAATTTGTAGATAAAAAATATCTACGTAAATAGAGCGTACTTAATCTACTATAAATGTTCAAAAAAACACAATGAAACTAGAATTTTCTTAACTTCATATTTTCATTACGACATATTCGTCTGTATAAACTAAACAGAAATAACTAATAAAATATAATATTTCGGAATATTATTCTAACAACTCCAAATACATGATACGCTAGCTGTTGCCAGCGACTTCGTCCGCGTAGAATATGAATTTTAGAACATATTAATTTTTATTTTGTTTCACTTTTCCAAAATAAAAGTAGCCTATGATACTCCTTACTACATCAGCTACATGCCAATATAAGTCTTGCAAAACCGGTCCAGCCATTTCAGAGATTAGCCAGTACACACCAACAGACAAACAGACAAAAATTGTAAAAAATGATATTTTGGTATATGTGTGTCGTATGTATATTCATATGCATGTAGTAAAACGCGGTTGTTTTAATATTACAAACAGACACTGAAATTTTATTTATCTGTATGGATTATTCATGAGAAGTAGAATTCTGATAAACATAATATTCTGTGGAACCATAAAGGAATATTGTATTATTCTTTCTTATACATAGGCCCTAAATACTTGTACCTACTATTTATTCTGTAGTACGCACTACTTTTGTTATGTAACAAAACAGGCACGATAAAATATAACTTGAATAACATCAGTTATTATGGTTCAAACAAACAGACAGACAGACACACCGACAGATACAGACAAATATATACACATAACATAACATCAAGCCTTTTATCCCCGTAGGGGTACGCAGAGGTGTAAATTATGCCACTGTACAATGTAACACTCACTTTTCACTATTTATGGTATGAGTCCCATATGGGGGTGAGCCTATTGCCATATACCGGGCAAAACGCCGAACTCCATGCTGCCACTGAGATTTTTAATAAAAACCCTGTAATACTTTGCCCGACCCGACCGGAATCGAAACTGAGACCCCTTGCCCGGCAGTCGCATTTGCGACCACTCGGCCAACGAGGCAGTCGAAATATACACCAAAAATATACACCTACCTAACAATATCTTTCAAAGTCAAAGTCAAAATCAAAATCAAAATCATTTATTGCAATTAGACCAGGAAGGCACTTTTGAACGTCAACAATGAAAATTCAAAAGTGAATCTATTTGCTCATTCCAAGGTGTAGATTCCTATGGAGAAGAACGAGCAATAAACTCCATAAGTTACTCTTTTCCAATCAGGTTCACAATAAACAATTCTCCAGTTACACTGTTTTATTGGTTCGATCGAGCGACATGTATGTAACACCAAAATCTTTTTGTATAACCTTGTGTCAGAAGAATTATAAATGTATTTTAAATCATTTTCTAATAACTCTTTAATGCACACAAAAATAAGGTAGGTACATAATACATAAGGCGCTCTTAATGTCATATGGTATTTTCTCCCAATCAACCTTTAGGTTAAATAGAGAATCAGCGAAAATAGGCTTGTGTAATATGCTGTGAAATGAAACAGCATAAATAACTAATAGTAATTACATAAATAACTAAAAGTAATGATGGCACGGTTGGCGCGGTGGCTCGGCAACCGGCTGCCGCGCAACGTGTAGCGGGTTTGATTCCCGCGCGGAGCAACTCGGGTTGTATCGGGTCTGGGTGGCACGCACCTACGACACAGGAGAAAAAAATATATAAATACTGTACCTGTAACATATTTCAAAATCATCCCTCATACGCGGAAATATTATGTTTAACGTTATTAATCCCTGTTATAAGCTATAGCTTACACTTAAACTTGTACGTTTCATACCAAAAATTATAGCATCACGCCTTTTATTCCCTAAGGAATAGGCACTTAATTCCACTGAACAATATAACAATTCTTCACTAAGGTAAATGCACCTTATTCCGAGGGGTTCTAAAAATGGCATCATATTCCGATGTATTTAGAAAAACAGTTTTTTAAAGCAATTTACTAGTTATTTATGGTCTGCATGATAAAATAATGAATTAATAATTATCTGTTCATATTTATTTATACAAAGGAGAGTTTAGTATGGTCAAACTGTAAAATAATCGGTCATTTTGCCGCGGGGAGCGGCGTCGAAAGCACACTTCATACATTTGGGACCTTATGCACGTGAGTATTACGATTTGCCAAATAGTGTTTTACGTAATAATTTTATACAACGCGAGTTTTCGTTTAGGTTGAAATATTGAAAGGATAATATTTTTTATCGAAAACACTTAAGATTTGAGTATTTTATTTGCAAATTAGCAAGAAAATAAGTGTTTAAAATACTGCGGCATTAGGTGCAAAATATTTAGTGTGTTCCTAAAAGCCGATGTATACCACGGAAAAACAAATTTAAAGACATTTAGTTTTTTTAATTTCTGTTTCTGTTTTATGATTATAAACTTTAATGTGTTAGTTCTGACTTAATGAATAACTCATACATTAATAATCTATTTCCGAGGTACACCGTGGCGTCGCATTTACTAATTATAGCAGGTCAAAAATTGTTTGACAGGTACTTTATTAATACGTTGTATAGAAGATTTTAGTGAAGACATTAGGTTTTATAAGTGTTCTGTTATTATATGTATGTACTTTTATTTGTTTTCCTTTCATATTGTAACTATACATTATTTTATTTGCATAATATTAAAAAATCTTTTACTTTTTAGTACTCGGAATTAGAAACTTTGATTTAGCATCATAAAACGCTATTCCGATGTATTTACGTCGGAATAAGGTTACATGAGTACCTAATTCCGATGTATTTACGTCGGAATAAGATTACATGAGAACCTAATTCCGAAGTTAGTTAAGACCCTGTTTAAATACAGAGTGTTCATTATTTTATGTGCTTAGTAGATACGCGTTTAGTAACTGAAAGAATACTAATCATCTATACAAATACATAAAATTGGAGTGTGTTTTGATATTGTTAATTCATTTTTATATTTTTATAAGATTAAGGAATAATATTAATAAAAAACAGGGTTTAGAATAAAATTAGAATAAACAAAAACAGAATTGATTTAATAATATAAAAAATAAACAGATTTGACTTTTAAACATCATGTATAATTCTCCCTACATAGTTCCCTTTCTATTTTTATACTCGGAATTAGGAACCAAATGCATCGGAATTACGATTTTTAAATCGGAATAAGGTACCTCGGACTTTTTTATATTTTTATTTATTTTATCAGCTTCAATAACCTTCTACTGACAAACTGCAAATATTTTTCA